TCTTATCTGCATGCCTCCGCATTCTTCCAATAAACTTCAGCCTTTAGATGTAGGCTGTTTTCGCGGCCTAAAAGATGCGTATGGCAATTTTGTAAAACAAAAGATATATTTAGGAATCAGCCATATCGACAAGCTTGATTTCTTAAAGATCTTTCAAAAAGCTCGCAAGCTCGCTTTTACAACAGAGACTATTCAGCATAGCTTTGCAGCTACTGGCCTAGTTCCATACGATCCAGCGAGAGTTCTTAGCAAGTTAGACGTTCAACTAAAGACTCCTACACCACCAGGCAGTCGATCAACTAATTCAGCGCCTAAAACACCTTATACAACTAGACAGCTGGAGAAGCAAGCATCTGCAGCAAGGAGACTACTTAGGGAACGCACCCACAGCCCTCTACCTTTGCTAGAAGCGCGATTAGACAAGATTATTAAAGGTCATGAATTGACTCTTAATGAGCTTGTTTTCTCACGAGAAGAAGTTCGCAAACACCGCGCCGAAAATGAATGAAGAGGTCAAAAACGCAAGCTATCTAATAGACAGTTAACTATTACAGAGGGCTCATCACTTCAGGAAGGACCAGATCGATTCCAGGGCGAGAATGAGGCTAATAAAGGACAAGATACGCTTCCTATAGATCCAGCACTTTTAGGAGTTGGACCGCGCGTACGAGCGCCACCGCAGTGTTCTAATTGTCATGTTCGGGGACATACTAGAGTTAGATGTCCTAAACCACTTAGTAATTAATGTTTAGATAGAAATGCAATTGTTTGGTTGATAAAGCCTCTAGTATTTGGCCCGCCGGCAGGAATTGAGCGAAGGTGCGGCGCTCGGTGGTGTGCGGCGCTCGCTAGTGAAATACGTTATAAGCTCGGCGTATTAATCAGCTCTTTGCCAAGACCATTTCTGCCACACCCTCTAACCTAACACATGACGATTGTTTTCTAGCCCCACTACCAAGAAGTTAGCCGGGAAGTTATAGAGAGCTACCCGCTTGCAAATGACGAAGGCTGTAAATTTCGTATTAATTTATGCACCTATGTATTCGGCTTATGAATCTACATAATGCCACCGGTATAGTAACTACAAGATGTTGCGGAATAGTTACGTAACCCATGTATTAAGGCAGACAGCGGTGCATAACCACGGGAGATATCCATCGAAGAGCATGGAACCCCCCACCCCGGCACCGTAGATCTCGGAGCCAAGGAAGCTCTTATTCCTGGTTCCTCGCAGATGTGCCATGTGGCATCAACTTCCCCTTTCTGGCATCCACATATCTCTGCCTTGCAACTCGTACGGTCGATAGATGACAGTACATTTCCTATTGTCTGATGTGACAGAATAAGACAGTTGTGTTATTCAGAATCTTCCTTCGCCCGCGGCTGTTGTTTGCTAACTGTTGTTCGCCGGTGAGCAACAGCTGCTGAGGCAGCGTAGGGTGCGAGATTTGACCAGATATTGCTAACGACAGGAGTCTCGATCACTGAAAGAGATGAGCTCGAACTTGTTTAGCCCTGAAAATGCTGATGGTGCTTACCAATACGAGTCGTGGCGATGGGATGAGTCGCCACAGTATGCGCCAACCCCAGGAAACTTCGGTCGTACCCCCTCCTCGCCGTCAAATCTAAGCCTTATCAACGCCAATTCTCCGTCCCTCTTTGAGTACCCCGCTCCTCAAACAAGCGCCTTCCGCACAGATAAACTGCCGCTCCTTCAATACGGAGACTGGGTTGAAGGAAAGGCTTATGATGAGGACCCACCAACCTGTATTCACTATTGGATTGAGTGGAAGGTTACTCTCTAACACAAAGACCGTGATAAGGGATACAGAACAAGATCTGGTTCTTGCCCCTGGGTTTTATTGGAGGCTGTTCCTCCAACCAAAATTGAGAGAGAAGCTATGCCTCAAATATCCACACAAAAAGATTGCATTGGACGACACATCCATTGTGGTGACAGTTCCTCGGCGTGACAAACTTACTCGACAGTTTGATAAGACAGATATTGACTGGCCTGGTATTGAGAAACAGCTTCTCAAATGGGGTTATCACTTTCTTGCCGGCAAGAAATTGAAACTTATGATATCGTTCAACTATATAGAAGAAAACCAAGGCTCTACAGCCAGACGCAAGGCGACTGACAAACGAGGCACTTCTTCTGCCACCCAGGGTATGCTTCAAGATCTTGATCGGGAGGTCAACACGGAGGAGGAACTAACTGGAGAGCCTGCGGCCTGGAGGCATGTCTATATGGTAATGCGCTGTCCCGGGTCGTGTGAGTTAGGGCCGCACTGTTGGCAGGTTCCTTACGGAAAGAAACATTATAAACTGTACAGAGACGAACTTTTGAGCCTGGTCAAATATGTGAAGGGTGGGAAGAGATTAGAGTCCCATGAAGACGTGGCTCTAGGTGATGGGTTGGACTTAGACCAGATCGACGAATTAAGTGATCCCGAATACTTCAAGAATCGGGGAGTAAAATGGGGTATTGCTCGTCGATTCGTCGGGGATATTAGATACTGGGCAGGCAACTTTTATTATTCTGTGGATGGTGGGGAGTCAGATTGATATAATAGACAACCGGGTTGCCAATAGTCACTCTCCATAGTCTATCTTCCTGTATGTGTGGTACGGCCGAGGAATGCTATATATAATCATCTATCAGCACACCTGCATGCCGAAAATGGTCTTCAGCACTCTGCACCCTTGAACCAACAACTCCATCACACCACTCGAGAAAAGCGTCAAATCCTTGACCTGGATTTTTTTCGTACTCATACCACCTTCGCTTGATGAATTGCTTGAGTTCAGCGAAGAACTCCTCAATAGGGTTAAGATCTGAAGAGTAGGGTGGTAGGTAAAGCAGCTTAACTCCCGCATTCAGGCACATCTGATTAACGCGCTCTGTACGGTGGAAGGATGCATTATCCATGATAATTACGGATCTCGGTTCCGGCCATCGGTTGCAGTGGTGGAGAAGCTGCTCGATGAAATTCTCAAACATATTGGCATCAGTTGAGCCTTGAAAGACTCGAGATAAGAGAACACCTTTCTGAGTATAGGCAGGCAGTATCTGATAACGTTGATCACGGTGGAATTAAGAGATCTGAATCGGTGTTACACCAAGAGGGGACCAGCCAGTTCGCCGAAACCCTACCCTCTTATCACAGCCTGACTCATCCACGTAAACCAGCTGGTATGACGAATAAGGGGATAGACTATGCAGGTAAAAGTCTCGGAGATCTGCGTTTTGTTTCTTAGCTCTTTGTCGAGCTGCCTTGTTCGACCGTCCAATTGAGGCAAGTGTCTTGCTTAGACTCTGTTTGGTTACGTGCTTTTCGAAATCATCGTATATAATAATCACTAATTGATCCAAGTATAGAGTTGGTTTTTCCTTCAAGCGTTCTAACACAGTTTCAAGCATCGATGGAGTGATACTTCGAGGGCGTCCGACGCCGTTCCGGGGGGTTCTGACATTGCCAAATGTCTGCAGGTTCTGACGGATATATGTTACAGCTTGCTTGCTATAACCAGCGGCAAAGGCGATCTCGGCTCTCTTTGACGACCTGTTCTCGATCATATGCTGAATCTGTTCGAGCTGTGGGGCTTTCAGATTTGCCGGCATTTTTGATTAATGTGGGATATAGCTCTGTGGTAGGGAGTGCAATCTACTATGTGGTGTTTACAAAACGAAGCTCGTGATCATCAGCACGGCCCGATAATGACTCCGGAAGTGAAATTACGTTGTGTCACGTGCAACGAACTTCCTGTGGAAGCATACTGCCTACGGGCACCGCCCGCCCCTGGGGTCAACCTCGCTTAGTCATCATATTCATTTCAGCAGAACCTTCGGGCACCCTTGAATGGTCAAGTATCTTGGTTCCCACACTTCCTGCCCCAGCACTGCTGAACCGATCGTGGCTCGCCCTGTTTGGACGATGTTGTCGGTGGCATCGCTGTCCAACTCCACCCCTCCCGGGAGACTAGGCTTCTCCGCTCCGAGCCTAACCCTGGCGGGGATGGGCGCTGGTACAGTAGTCACCCAACTTGGTAAACCACCAGAGGTGATAAGTTTGGACTTCTCTTATCTCGATCTTAAACTTTAAGGGATCCGCACTAACAGTTAGATGTGAGGCTTTTTATTAGTTAACTACTAATTTCGACTGGGTTTCACCGTCGAATGTTCATTCAAGTTTCAAGGAGTCATGACCTAGGAACGCTAGCTAGAGAAAAAGCAAACAAGTATGGGGCGTTAAACTGGCCTCTCTGCAGCCAATGGCTGGCTGAAGACTGCTGCCTCTAATAATTTTTCCGAAAATAGTCAGATGAACTATGGTCCCTTCCCCTCTCGCTGTCCAATTCAGTTTTCCAGCGAACTTCCCTACGCATCCTTGCGACCAAGTCTCACCACAAAGCAGTTCCACCGGTTTAACTATGGATACTCCTGCCAATTCTATCCACAATAAGAGGCATAGTCTGTTCAGATGCTTAAAGACTGTCTTCAGAGGGCGGAAAAAAGATAAAGATACGCGTCTTACTGTCCTAAAACCAAGCACTCCAAACGTCAGCGCGGATCCAGACGCAAAGAATGGCCCTGCAAACTCCAAAAATGACATTATCGAAACCAACGACCTTGACGAAAAGGACTTTTGGCAGATGGCGTACGATGAGTTAACAGAGAGTGACCAGAACAATCTAGCAACATTTCTCCCGGCAACCGCAACCAAGCCTCAGGACGCTAGTGATACACGAACGAAAGAGATATTGGACGAGGTAGTTAAAACAGTAGAGACACAGTACAGAGAGAAGGGGAGAAAGAATGGTATTCGGGCCACAGCCCACAAATTATTAAACTCGACGCTGTCTTTTCAAGATGTTGTCAGTAATATTGCGAAATTTGATCCGACAAGGTACGCTTCCAGTGCTTGGGCGATAGTCTCTCTTGGATTAACGGTACGGTCCTTGCACAAACGAAGCCAGACAATCAGCTAATGACTTAGATGGCTAAGAATCACGCAGACCTCCAGGGGGCTCTATTTAACTCGTCGAGATACCTGGCGGATTTGCTGACTCGTTGTGCGTTCATCGAAGAACAGTTTTATGAGGGTGGAGATCTTGTTATAGTGAATGTCGAAAAAGAACGATCGATCGTCCGGGTGTATGTGGCAATATTGCGATATTCTGCCGAAATACAGAGAGTTCGACAGTTCAACAAGGGAGAAGACATCGTGGCGAGTATAACGGCTATAACAAGCCAGCCACTCACGCAGCTCAAGACCTCGATCAAGGAAGAAGAGACCCACCTGCATCACTGGCTGGTCCTGGACCAGCACCTGCACCGAAAAAAGGAGGCAGATGCTATTCTGACTCACCTCGATAAATTGATGGTGGATTTCCAAAAAATGCGCGATGCAGTTGATATGTTAAATCTCCCTTTCGCCAAGGGTGCATTTTTTGACTCGTTCGAGGACCAGCATGAGGATGAATGCCTTGCTGGAACGCGAACGGAATTACTTCAGCAGATGCAGGACTGGGGGAGGTCCAGTGAGAGGTCTAGTGGGAAACACATTTTCTGGCTGAGCGGAATGGCAGGCACTGGAAAGTCCACTATTGCGAGAACGGTAGCTCGATCGTTCAACGAGGATGGCATTCTCGGAGCGAGTTTCTTTTTTAGAAGAGGCGAAGGAGATCGGGGCTCGGCCGCAAAGTTTTTCCCCACGATTGTGAAGCAACTGGCAGTCCATATTCCTGGAATGATTACTGGCATGCGAAAGGCCATCGAGGAAGATCCTGCAATTCCGGGTAAATCACTTAAAGAGCAGTTTAATAAGCTCATGTTGCAGCCATTGCTCGCCGTGGATGAGGGACAATTAAATGCTTCTACGGTGGTTGTCATCGACGCCCTAGATGAGTGCGAGCGGGAGGAAGACATCGAGATCATCCTCGACCTTTTACCCAAGGTTGAGACGGCAACAAAGACAGCAATCCGATTCTTCTTGACCAGCCGGCCGGAGTCACCCATCCGTTTTGGATTTGATCAGATCGATCAGAGCAACTACCAGAACACCATCCTGCAGAACTTGGATGATAATGTGATAAAGCATGATATCACTCTATATCTTGAAGAAGAATTCTCTAAAATATTGCAGAAGCGCCAGCATGATCTCCCCCCTGACTGGCCTGGAGAGGAAAGAATCGAAGCCTTAGCAATGATGGCTTGTCCGCTCTTTATCTTTGCAGCCACAATGTGTCGTTTCGTGGCGGATAGGCGTTTTGACCCGGATGAGCGGCTTCGGGAGTTTTCTACTAATTCTACAGGATCAAAGATGGATGACACATACCGACCAGTTCTGAACCAACTCCTTGTCAAGGACGCTACGGACAGGACTAAGCTGATTGAAAAGTTTCAGAGAATCATTGGTGTAATCATTTTTCTTGCCAATCCGCTCTCATTGAGCTCTCTTGCGGAGCTGCTTGGAACACCGGAACGCTATATCAGTATTCATTTGGACTTATTCCATTCAGTCCTGTCTATACCCAGCGATTCAAAACTACCTATACGGACCCTGCATTTGTCCTTCCATGATTATCTGGTGGATGATCGTACAAAAGACGAAGAGGCCACGTCTCGATTCTGGGTGGATAAAAAGGAGAAGCACAAGCTTATAGCCTGCCAATGTCTTGCTGTCATGGGCCGTTATCTCAGAAAGAATATTTGCGATCTGCCAAGCCATGGGACCAGTCGAACAGAGATAGACCATGATGCTATGGCAAGATTTCTCCCGCCTGCTCTGCAGTACGCCTGTCGTTATTGGGTTTACCATCTCGCCCAAAGTTCAGCATCAGCCGATACTATTGACCAAGTGCTCATCTTCCTCAAAGAGCACTTTCTTCATTGGCTGGAGTCAATGAGCATTTTGGGGATGATACCCGAGGCTATAGTTGCAGTAAATTCATTGCTCCAGCTGACAAAAGTGAGTGTCAAACTAGCTTGTGGCAGCCGACCCACTAACACTAGTGGAAACTCTAGGATATACACAGTAATGAGATACATGTTTTCCTCGGAGATGCCCGCAGATTTATGCTAAAGTTTGCACACATTCTTGATACGGCACCACTGCAGCTGTACAGCGCTGGCCTGATTTTCGCACCATATAAATCGTTGATCAGAGAGAACTTTGAAAAAGAACTCCCTGCTTGGTTATGCAAAGGCCCAAAAGTGGAAGAGTATTGGAATCCAGAAATGCAAACGCTTGAGGGCCATTCTGGCCCTGTTGAGTCGGTCACCTTCTCCGGCGATAGCCAGCTTCTTGCATCGGGCTCTTATGATCACACTATTAAGCTGTGGGATCCCGCCACGGGCGCTCTCAAGCATACGCTCGAGGGCCATTCTAGCTGGGTTCGGTCGGTTACCTTCTCCGGCGATGGCCAGCTTCTCGCATCGGGCTCTATTGATCACATTATCAAGCTGTGGGATCCCGCCACGGGCACTCTCAAGTATACGCTCGAGGGCCATTCTAGCCGGGTTGAGTCGGTCGCCTTCTCCGGCGATAGTCAGCTTCTCGCATCGGGCTCTAATGATAACACTATCAAGCTGTGGGATCCCGCCACGGGCGCTCTTAAGTATACGCTCGAGGGCCATTCTGGCCGGGTTGAGTCGATCGCCTTTTCCGGCGATGGCCAGCTCCTCGCATCGGGCTCTAATGATAACACTATTAAGCTGTGAGATCCCGCCACGGGCGCTCTCGAGCATACGCTCGAGGGCCATTCTGGCCGGGTTGAGTCGGTCGCCTTCTCCGGCGATGGCCAGCTTCTTGCATCGGGCTCTAATGATAACAATATCAAGCTGTGGGATCCCGCCACGGGCGCTCTCAAGCATACGCTCGAGGGCCATTCTGATTGGGTTCAATCGGTTACCTTCTCCGGCGATGGCCAGCTTCTTGCATCGGGCTCTAATGATAACAATATCAAGCTATGGGATCCTGCCATGGGCGCTCTTAAGTATACAATCGAGGGCCATTCTAGCTGGGTTCGGTCGGTTACCTTCTCCGGCGATGGCCAGCTCCTCGCATCGGGCTCTGATGATAACACGATTAAGCTATGGGATCCCGCCACGGGCGCTCTCAAGTATACGCTCGAGGGCCATTCTAATTGGGTTGAGTCGATCGCCTTTTCCGGCGATGGCCAGCTTCTTGCATCAGACTCTGATGATCACATTATCAAATTGTGGAATCCCGTCACGGACACTCTCAAGTATACGCTCGAGGGCCATTCTAGCCTAGTTTGATCGGTCGCCTTCTCCAGCGATGGCCAGCTTCTCGTATCGGGCTCTGCTGATCACATTATCAAGCTGTGGGATCCTGCCACAGACGCTCTTAAGTATACGTTCGAGGGCCATTCTAGCTGGGTTCGGTCGGTTACCTTCTCCGGCGATGGCCAGCTCCTCGCATCGGGCTCTGATGATAACACGATCAAGCTATGGGATCCTGCCACGGGCGCTCTCAAGTATACGCTCGAGGGCCATTCTAATTGGGTTGAGTCGATCGCCTTCTCCGGCGATGGCCAGCTTCTCGCGTCGGGCTCTGCTGATCACACCATCAAGCTGTGGGATCCCGCCACGGGCGCTCTCAAACATACCTTGAGCATTGATAATTTTGTCACCAGAATTGAGTTTTCTAAGCACCTGCCGCAACTAATTACCAACCTGGGATCTTTCGATATCCGAATCTGCTACGAAAGCTTCTCATCAAATCCGTCTGCAACAGCGACAGAGGTATTACTGCAGGCAAATCGGTGGATTACTATTCAGGGTCAAAGAGAGTTATGGCTCCCTCCAAATTATCAACCTAGCTGTTCAGCAATTAAAGAGGGCACCATAGCACTCGGATGCACAAGTGGCAGAGTTGCTATGATTACGTTCTTAATCATTTAAGTTATACTGCGCTGGATTGTATTTCTAGCTCTCTTATCTTTCAACTCTCTTTCAAAAGGAGGGTCTGAGAGAAAGGGGCATTATATAGTTCTCTGCAATATTAATAGAATTTTCGCGATGCTTCGGCTCTTCTCCGTAGGTGGTGGCAAGGTACCAATATTTCTGGGAAGTGGCGAAATCGCCTGGACTCACCAAGTTTCCTGGTACATCAGTCATGTGACTGTTCTCTATGTCCAAGAGTTGGATCTTCAATTACATAATTGATCACGGGCTAGAACGAGGCCGTTTTAAAAATTCTGTACAGTACAGGATGGTATTGAAAATTGATCAATAATCGACTCACGCTAAGTCCTTGATAGTGGGGCTGGGAAACAATGATCATGTGTTAGAAGGTCAGTGGGATTTCGAGACCGACTGTAAGACAACCCCAAAATACATACCAAATCACCACCTATTGCCGGGCAAGACGGGATAAATATGACGTAAATTGTCAGCAAATAACCGCCGATGTCTCGGTTTCGGCTACTGACACAGTGATTTCTGCACGTTAGAATATTGAACACCAGTGTGTAACCATAGAGTTTTGAATAGATATGGGTTCTAGTAGCAGGATGAGATCCAGAATCTAAAGTATGGTGGAATATTGCCGTTTCCACTTTGACGAAGCTACAGATGGCCGAGGGACCTAAGTCTAATGGAGACGGGTCACCGAGGAAAGCGCAATATTACCCGTTGAAATTGCATGGGTCGCGCTACGTGCTCAAAAAGCCCTAGCACTTCGGCATGGCTAACAGCAAGAAAGGCGGTATCTCATCATATTCGAAGACTGGGGTCAATAATCGCTAGGTAGCATCGTTCCAAGGGAACCCGCATAATGAAAAACCCCTGTGTACAGTAGAGTATATTACATATGCCCACCGTTGTGGGTCGTCGGGCAAAAGGGAAATAAATGTTCATGCCCTGACCAGATTTCCTTCTAATTTTCCTCACCCCGGAGGGTTCTCATTTGACCAACTGTTGCCAATCCTTTATTATACTCTGTTCATCATCCTCTATCATTCAGTCTAGAAGTAATAGTCCCCGCCAATCCGATGGCGCTGGAAGCCCGTGCCACAACACCGAATTGCTCCAAGTCTTAACGGTGCAGGTATCTAAAGGGATACACGGCCCTTGGTTCCTTGCGTGGCCTCGATGAGATTCCATATCGTACCGACTAGTCCTCACTTATATTACGCCGGCCATCTCTAGGAAGTCCCCCAGGGCATTTTCCTTAGTGCATGGACATGGACATGCGATAATTTGACAAGAGACAGTGAAATTGAACCATAGTCGTGTTAAATCATGGAGACGTGCAATGACATCGCCTATAGCGTAACCCATAATTGCTCTCGCCGTGCCACCGCAGACCGAGTAACTGGATAAGACCTTCCTGCCCGTGAGAATCCAAAGTGAAAAGGTTCTCATCTTAATATGTACATTGACTGGTTCGCTATAGCACTAGCTAGCATTGTTGGGGCCCTGTCTGTCTCCGATGACGTTGTGATTCAGTCTACTCCGAGCTGCTCGGAGCCTCGGACCAAGTCTGGGTCAAACATTGCTGTAACCGTCATGCCACCTTCCAGTGCTTATGCCTCAGTTTCTCTCGCCAGATGCAATATGGGATCACAACGACCAGTTTCTTCAAGTATGGCCACCATTTCTCAGTGCGTGGGCTCGACGTCCGGTAGAAACGGATTGCGGAATGGAACCCATCCTTTCTCCTTCAGTTCCATGGCGTTTACTTCAGCCCAACCAAGTGCAACAACTGGAATTACAAAAGTTAGAAGCGAAAGCAGATGGAGTTCGGTCCGTGCAAAGACGACACCGTCCCACACACCAGTTTCCACAACATCCGAAACGTCGTCAGCCAGCCAGGCCTTATTTACAGGGGCGGGAGTGCAGGAAATGGGTGTATCCGCACTTGTAGGGGGGTTTGTTCTACTGTCTTCTCTTTGGTTCCTTTCGCACTAGGGATCCAGTGAGCCCTTGTATATTGCTGTGTCTCCTAGGTTTGTGTGGATCTGTTACTTGGCAGGGCAGCTTGTAGGTAGAATGATCATTAGGGTTAGCATATACAGGCCACAACGCCTCACACGATGCCTAAGAGACTTCTGCACTCCTGGATAGCACATCGACAGACTGATAGAACTAGTCGGGAATGGACGAAAACCCGACCAGGCCTACCAGAAAACCGGCGACAGAGAACACTAGCAGCCTATACGGACAAATAGCCAAGTTCAAAACCTTGGGACCAAACATTGAAAAATGAATAGTAGGATTTGCAATTTGCTGTGGGGAAGTGCTGTGACGTTTGCAGCTTCCGATGTAGTCTCCTTACTACCCCAGGGGGGGCGGGGCGCCGCGGGTGCGGCGGCTCTAGGGTCCGGCGCGTCCGTATGGGGCGCCAAGACCCCCGGGGGGGGGTGCGGCGGATTGAGACGTCGGGGTACGGTGCCTTCCACCCCCCGGGCTCCGGGGCCGCTGAAATTTGGCCTGGGCATTCGGCGGCCACTTCGCTATCCTCTCCTCCAGTGCCAGCGTCCTAGCTGGCCTATGGCGGGCGTGACGTGTGTCCGAAGACGATCCATTTTCACGGGGTACGGGTGGATTCTCGGCTGCAGCGGCACTAATATCGGTAGATGTGATACATCCCAACATATATATAGCAACACGGCTTGGGATTAGCTACGAGATACTCAGGGGCTCGTGTTCGACCAATCTTGGTTTTGTTTTTTTCTTCCCTTTCTCTTGTGTATTCTCATCTAGCACTTCTTCTACGCCATTTACCATCTTTCTATGCCATAATTATTACTTCACTTTCTCTATGGAGTCCCAGTTATTCGAAAAAGTGCCCAATTTACGGGTGATGATCTGCCGCCAATGTCGATATGGCGTCTGGCCTAGCGAGATCGAATCTCATCTCAAACAGCAACACCAGCTATCCTATCAGACTGTTAGTCCGATCGTTCAAGCAATTAACCAATGGACCGATCTCGCTCCCTCTCCACAGGCAGTCCAGATCCCCTATCAGCTGGACGAACCACTACCGATCATATCCTGTTCCTCGAATGGAATACTCTGCCGCCGCGAGCCGGCAACCTGCCAGTATCTAGTCGCTAATATGAAATCGATGCGAAAGCACTGGCGGACGGCTCACCGGTGGTCTCAATATCCCGAACGGGGCCCTATCCCGCAGTCACAGCGGGCGCAGCCGGAGGCCGAGCTGCAGCGATCGTACGAGCTGGTCTCCTATCAGCAGCTCTTTCCCACCCGAGCCGGCTCGCACTATATCCACATCCGCTACCCCCGGGGCCGCCAGCCCCTCTTACCGGCCCCCGACCAGGCGCAGCAGGCGGTAGATGCTGTAATCGAGGCCTGGGAGCAGGCGGAGGCCACGCGCGCGGAGGCTCCGGTGGAGGCGATCCAGCTGCACGATGCGAATCCATGGCTGCGTGTGATCCGATGGACCGAGTATCTGCGGGAGATCTCCCCGGGGGACCTGCTCCGCAGCGTCGAGGCCCCCGACCCCGACCCCGACCCCGACCCGGCCGACCCGGTCGAGCAGGGGGTGCGGGTGCTGTTCCATACGGTGGACCAGTTGGCCCGGAAGAGTCAGCGAACGGTGCAGCGGTGCGGGCAGGCGATCTGTATGGAGGCAGTACGCACGCAGGCGGGCGAGCTCCCGTATTAGCCGTTGCAGACGTATATGAACGAGGCGAGCGTGCAGAAACACGTGCAGCCGTGGCAGCAGATCCTGGACTTCTTCGCGCGGATTCAGCACCCGCACGATTGGGCCAGTCCCTCCTACCAGTTCACCGCGCGGCAGCGGGCCCGGTGGGCGCGGCTGTGGCAGCTGGTCGAGCATTCCGAGCCGCAGCCGGAGCTGCAGGCGGTTGACGAGACGCTGTAGCCGTGACTGCTGGAGCGGCGGGAGCGGGCGTGTTTGGAGTTCTGCGTCGAGCTGTTCAATCAGCGGCATCGCAGTTACGAGTACGAGAGCGCGCTGGTCTGCGCGATGGCGGTGCTCGGCCGTGGGGCGGAGGGCTGGCGGGATCCCGAGAGCTACCCCCCGATCTTCTTCCGGGTGATCAAGCTCGCGCGGTTCTTCGTGGTGGAGAAGGCGCTGTGGCTGGATCCTGCGGTGCTGCAGATCGTGCAGATGTGGCAGGATAAGCAGATTGCAATCCCGTGGGCACTATAAAGCGCAGATGACGAGTTGGAGGTCTTAAAGGACGAAGGATACGCCAGCGGGTCAGCGGCGGGCAGTCCGGTTCCCAGCAGCCCAATCGCCAGTAGCTCCGATCCGGGGGATCATC